TTATGAACTCCAGTTTTGGGCTATTTTTCTGTCATGTAGCTCTTCCACTGCTATGCAAAAAGCAAGCATGTTACATTCCAAACCTGAATCATGCAAGTGGGTATGTACACGTACATGTACACACGTGGAGAGCAGGAGAGAGGTAGATTACTTCGTGAAGGAAAGTACACATTTATCAAATTTTGTATTTTCCTTCGTGGAGCATGTGCGAAATGACTTTTGTGAAGTAGTTTTCTGGTGTTTGCTTTAGTTGGATTTTCAAAGAGATTTGTTTCAACTAGTCCATAGTGTTTACAAGCTAACAAAGAAATAAAAGTGTAGTCTTCCACCATTGCACCAAGAACTGGAAAATTTCTGTATGCAGGGTTCGTTGTTAGAATTATCGGGTCCAGGAACCAGACTACCAATGCCCAAGTAAATCGCGGGACCATTCTGGAGTACCACACTATAATTTGCGTACGTGATTGGTAAAGTACGCGCACAGACGGCGAATGGGTCGTATACTTTAATGGTTGGTTGAACTACATGTATATACATATGGACAGGGCTGGTTTAATAATATTAATGTTTACGTTACATCGCCGGCCCCCTCAATTTTCACGTCTGCCTTCCGATTTTTTAAATATAACTGAAACTGTTGTTTTTCCATCAAGGTTGGAAGGCCCGACCAATCCATCGCCTAGGTACCGCTACATGCACTGCATGCATACAGCTTTTCAAACTCGTTAACACAGGGATGTGTATGTAATGACTTGAAGTCAGATGAAGTGCTCTAAACATGCATTACTTTTCTTTGTGAAGCACATTCGAAATGAAAGTCTTGTGAAATATTTAATGCATGCTAAGCTTTCTGACTGACAGCCGACAGTGCATGTCTTATGCACAGGCAAGGTCTGTGTGTATTTATGCAATGTGAACGTTTGTGTACAATTTCCTGTACATCGTAGGCTATGCCTACAAAAATCCTCATTAGAAATAGAGCACAAGACAATTTTTGTTTCAAACATTTCCAGTTCTTGATGCAATGGTTGAAGACTGCACTTTTATTTCTGTGTTAGCTTGTAAACACTATGGACTAATTGAAACAAATCTCTTTGAAAATCCAACTAAAGCAAACACCAGAAAAATCCAGGGCATTGCCATGAGTACAGGTAAAATATCACCAAAATAAGGATAGCAAAGGGCAACTCGAGTACTAATTGAGTACCGTTTTCAGAGTACTCGTACTTGTACTTGGACGTCCAAATACTTGTACTTGAACTACAGTTCTTGTACTCGGGCTACAAAATACTCGGAACTCGACATCCAAAAATTGTTCTCGAGCATCAAAGTACTTGTACTCGATTAACAGTACTTGATAAAAAAATCCTTTCATTTACTTACCACCGCCGTTAAAATAAGGAACAAAAATATCAACTCCAATGACCAAATATTCAATACGGTTCTGACAAAGAGAAGGCCGAACGTGGAACCATTAACGTATACGACCCATTCGCCGTCTGTGCGCGTACTTAACCAATCACGTACACAAATTATATTGTGGTAATCCAGAATGGTCCCGCGATTTACTTGGGCATTGGTAGTCTGGTTCTTGGACCCGAAAATTCTAACAACGAACCCTGCATATAGAAAATCACAGGCATGTGAATAATTGAGTCTGGAAAATAGACTTCGCCACGCCGTGCACGTTGTGTCAACTGCTGCAACGCACGTGTAATTACCGTGACATTGCTAGCCAGATCACTTGTTCTTGTAGCCACGTCATCTGCATTCTGTGTTTCTTTTACAAAGTGGCAGGTCTTAGAGTCTCTAAATCAAGAGAAAACTACTTTTGAATTAGTACTTGTACTCGTACTCGGAATTAGAAGTACTTGTACTCGTACTTGGAAGTGCAAGTACTTGTACTCAGAAACCAGTACTTGTACTCGGCTGGCAAAGTAGTCGCCCTGTCTTTGTACTCAGCAGTCAAAGTACTCAGCAGCACTTGGTACTCGGAAAAAAGTACTCGACTACTGTTTGACCAAACTTCGGAGAACACCGTCCATGTCTGAAGCATGCATAGGATCCATCATTTGGGGTCGCCAGCTTTTAGGTTGTACAGCCAGCAGTGGGTGCATGGCCGACGAACCCAAATCGCTATACTCTTCCTTTACGGACATCTCAGAAATCACAAAGGAAAATTTATCCAACAGAAAATTTGTTTCGTGCCGTATGGACAAAAACTGATCAAATGAAGCGGTCGTTATATATATATATGGCCCTCGTCAGTGCCGGCCCAATTATTTCTGCTAAAATTCAACGATGTAACTCATTTCTAGAAAAAAAATCATTCTTTTGGAAGTTTGAATTGTCATTGAGAATACTTTATATAATCTATTGCTGTGGAGTTTAGGGGAGGAGGGAACATTTCAAAAGGAATGTAGACAGGGTTGCCAGAATGGGGAAGTTTGGAGGAGCATGGGTAAGGTTTGGGGATAAAAACCGAAAAATGGAATTGTCTGCTGTGCCAAGCGAAAAGCAGCACATAAAATGTTTGCCTTCTGTAAAATGGTAGACCTACTGGTTTGTGTTATACATCTGTAATCCATACTGATAAAATCCAAAACTATGCAGGAATTCAAGACCTGGTTAGTAGCACGTTCATACTGTACATTCACGTATCGTTTGCGATTTCACTGTTCGGTAGTTGTGTGCCATTGCGCATCATTCACGAAGTCTTCACAGATCATTTGCATATCATTCATGAACGGGGCATCGGAAATTATGGTTGTAGACTCTCTCTAATGATGGCCACCAAATATTTGCAATTTGGCAGTTATCTTCATGAAGGAAAGGGCTCCCAAGAAAAAGCATTTTTTAAAGAAAGGCACACTATTCAAGCAGGAAAGATCCTTGGTCATGTTCTCCTTGACGGTCTCACACACCACATCACTGACAACATACTTCCTGAGAGTCAGTGAGGGTTCCAAGTCCATTGTGTCACATCTGACATGATGTTCTCCCTCAGAATTCTTCTTACAAGGCCTTTGGTGATCAAAGTAAACATGTAATGCTTATTTGGCTTTTATTACATCATGATGTCATCAAAAATGATGATTTTTATTACACATTAGGGGTGCGAGTTTACAAGTGTTTTTGGAACCGGGAACCTGTTTCATATCAACACTGGGTACCCAGGTACCCTTAAAATATAAAGAACACATAACAAATGGCATTGCATGCAATCACAGCAGACCATGTGCCCAAAACAGGCTCTGTTTTTCGTACATAGGAAGCAGCACATTGTTTTCTAAACATTACAGGGAAATTTCCCTCACATTTTTACTGAATGAAATACATGTATTATCCTTAATTTGTAACAAAAGTAGCTGTCTGTCTCTGAACCAGAATTATGACCATGGGACTGGATTTTTCAGCAGTATAATGATTTTTCAGCAATTCTGCCCTTGACTGTTGAAATTCATATACATTTTAAAAGCATAGAATTTTTTTATGGGTACCTGGCTAGAAAATATGGAACCGGGTTTTGATTTTGACAGGCTACCTAGAATAAGCCTAATACACATACCAGGCAGGCTCAAACAAAATTGAAATTAAAATTAATTTGAAATGACAGCATGAAGACATCATCAAGTTACTTTTGATCAACTTTAGCACTTGCTCAGGTGGGACTTGAACCTAACTGTTCCTGTGTAGTGTTGGGGTATTGAAGTGGGTCACTGCACTCCTGGTACAGAAAGTGCACTTTGAAACATTTAAAATTGCCCACGTTTTTCTAGACAACTGATAGGGTTGCTCTACATGTATATGTAATTATGTCATGCTTTACATGTACATGTAATTATGTCATGCTTTACATGTACATGTAATTATGTCATGCTTTACATGTACATGTAATTATGTCATGCTTTACATGTACATGTAATTATGTCATGCTTTACATGTACATGTAATTATGTCATGCTTTACATGTACATGTAATTATGTCATGCAGTGAAGACACTAGTTTCCCTGTTCAAATTGAGAACTCAAAATTTGCCCATACATGTAGAAGAGATGTTTGAAAAAGGGTTGCTCGCTGGATTATTGCCACATAAATGTACTTAAAAAGTAATGTACATGTAGGTTTGCAAAATATTGAAGAAAATTCCAAGTTATGTACAAACAAAAGCAACAGCACAACTTTCTTATTATAACCCCCACCCAATTAGGATACAGCCCGTAGTATTTATGACTATGCTTCCATTTGTAAGTTTTCCCTCTTAGTTTTCTTTCATTATATTCCATATTTCTTCTTTCAGCTTTGCTTTAGTAATTTTTCTGATTCTTTCCTGCTTGCTCCACAGGAAATATTGATTTCCTACTCTTGTTCTGTTGTTTATCCTCCTCACAGGAGAGGTGGAAGATGTCTTTTGTATTTTCTTCCTCTTAACTAGTGACAGGTGTGCCCTAACAATGGTTATTCAGGTTGTCAGCAGGATGCAGGTACACCAAATCACTGCTTGTGTTTTACACTTGACCAGAGCTGTGAAACCACAAGTCCATATTAAATGCCTTGCCTACCTGATCACTAAACGACCAATCAGGTGTAATGCTATATGTGATAAGTTTAAATTTAGCAAATGGGAGCTGAGTTGATCATGCGACTAGGTCATGATCTTGGAGCTGATTTGCCCCCAAGATTTGTTAACACCAGGCATTTCCTGCCACTATGCTGACCACATGCAACCATTTTGTCAACATACTGCTGTGCTACTGCATACTGAATCATCGATGGTGATAAGGGATTCTGAGCTCGTAATTCTCCAAACTTTCTTTTGCACAAGTGTTGGCTCTCTGTTTGAGAGAAATATCAAGCCAGCCGGCTGTTACCCTGAGCTGCCACCTGGGTCTACTAATACCAGGGGACTTTGGGTCTGTATCAAGGGATAAAGCACTCTCAGCCAAGCACCAAGCCTGGACCATTCAGGGAGACCAGGACTGTCTGGGCTGGGACTCACATGGAAGGCTGTGAGGGCATCTAGACTGGGGTTTCAGAGGAGGCTGCCACCTTTCGTGACCCGGCATAGCCATTGGTGGAGACTGATGCACCTTCTCTACCAAAGATTGCCCTAAGGGATGGGATAAAAAATACATTGACTGTTTGCAAGCATTCACACACGTTCCCTGCCATTCTGCATGCCCTCCTGTTCACCCCTGTTCCAAAGGGCACTTCGGAACACATTCCCACACCGTTCTCTGACATGAGTCATTGAGAGGGTATTCTTATGTTAATTGTCCATTCCTTTGCGTGCGAGATTGGCAGCATCACAACAAAGATGCGAAGAACATACAAGCTATTCCCAAGTTTGTTGTTAGCTATTAAATTGACAGGGTTTGGTCCGATAAGATTTATTAATCCTTCTTACGAACTTCTTATATTTTTATATATTCTTGCTTAAAATGTTACCAAGGATGAATATGAAAAAGCCTGCCTAGTCAAATTTTACTGTTCAAGGATAAGTTAATATTTTGGCAAGCTGTATGCTGTATGGAATAAAAAATATTAACATAGTCGGCATGGCATCAAGTTTGATGGAAGTGCAAATCGTGGGAGGTCCAGATTTTGAGAAAGAAATACAGATACGTGAAAGGTTAATATTTTTGACAGCATGAATACATGTTCCGATGTGGGGGAAAAACCAAATGGTCCAGGTTTGCCATGGGGGGGAGCACTGGGCCAGGTTTGTCGAGAGGGTGGGGGCATAATACATGTATTTTTGATGTGCTTACTAGAAATAAAAATACTGATAAGATGACGTGGAGGCCCAGTTTTTGAAAACGATGAAATGCTAAGATGAGAAGGAACAAGACTTCTGGCAAATTTGAAGCTTTGGAAAAATAATGTTTATACAGTAGGACATGGGAAACAATAAAAGGCCACGGGTGGTCCAGGTTTGGGACAGAGTTGAAATACTGAGATGGGAAGGAAATATATTTTTGACATCTGAAGTTTGAAATAAAAATTTTGATTATTCGATAGGTCCAAAAAAATAGAAGCCCAAATATGGTCCAGGTTTAGATGAAGATGAAATGATGAGAGGGGAAGAGCAAGATTTTCGACATAAGAATAATGATTATTCGGTGGGGAAGGGGAAAAAGGAACCCCATGTTGTCCAGGTCTAGATGCAGAAATGCTGAGATGCGAAATAAATAACTTCTGGCAGGTCAGAGGCTCGGAATAAAAAATGTGCGGTGGTGCACAATAAAAACCACATGTGGTCTAGGTTTGGATTGAAAAGAAATGTTGTGGAAGGGGACAAATTAATATTTTTGAGGGGGTTGGTTGCTTTGAATAAAAAAATGTGTGGTGGTGTATGGAAAAAAACCCTCATGGCCCAAGTTTGGATAGAGAAATGACAAGGTGGAAAGAATTCATATTTTTAGTGGAATAAAAAAATGTGCGGTGGAGTGGGGAAACATAAAAACCCTCATGGCCCAGGTTTGGATAAATGCTGAGGTGGGGAAGATATCTGTTGGCAGGTTTGGTGCTCCAAATTAAAAAGGGCGGTGGCGCAAGGAAAAAAATAAAAACCACATGTGGCATAGAGTTGGATAGAAAAAATGATGTGGAGGGAAGAATTGATATTTTTGGCGGGTTGGTTGCTCTGAATAAAAAAATGAGCGGATGTGCAGGGGAAAAATAAAAAACCCTGATGGCCCAGATTTGGACAGAGAAATGCTGAGATGGGGAAAATAAAAACCACATGTAGTCCAAATTTGGATAGAAAAGAAATGATAAAGTGGACAGGACTAAAATTTTTGGTGGGCTGAATGTGCTGAGGAAAAAAGAAATGAAAAGAAAAAAGAAATGAAAAGAAAAAAGAAATGAAAAGAAAAAAGAAATGCCGAGGTTTTGGCGATGGGTCGGGGAAAAAAATAAAAACACATGTGGTCTACGTTTGGATACAAAAAATGTTGAGGAATAAAGAATCTGTTTATTTGGCGGGTTGGGTGCTCAGAATGAAAAAAAAAAATGCGGTGGTGCAGGGAAAAAATAAAAACCCTCATGATCCACGTTTGAACAGAGAAATGCCCAGGTGGGGAAGAACTTGGCCAGGAAAACAAAAGCCACACGAGGTCCACAGTTTCGATAAAGAAATGCCGAGGGGGGCTGTCAATCAGAAGCCGCAACCAAAAAAGTCTGCCAGAAAATTTAAATTTTTAATACGTGACAGTCTGTCAGCTGTCAATCTTTGGTTGGAGGAAACTTCTTAGAGAATCTATTTGGAATACACTCCTACTTTTATTCCCTTTCTAATTTTTTTGTTTTGGTCTGAACTATGATGAATGGCCTGTGAAATATTCCCATGAAAACGGGTCTTACAAAAGTATTTTTTTGGAAATTTACTTTTCTGTCGAGGTACATGACTGGTGTATTGTATTAAAGTACCACCACCTATGATTACATTCCGTGATTTCCCCATTGATGCCAGTGGTGCACAGCCACATTGAATGTAAAAAAAAGGAACTAGCATTAGGCAGACACTCGTCGTCTGAATTATCGCCACAAACCCTAGCTGCTTCTGGATATTTCTGAATGAAAACCTTTCCATGAAAGTTTGTGAGGCACAAAGACCTGTTGGATTGTTTCTAAAATTGCAAAGGCAGGAATATTTTCCGGTGGAGGTGCTCCGATTAAAAATCTTTTAAAAAAAACACAGCCAGTCAGGGCTGAGAACGTTTTTGCCCAGGTTTCTATGAAAAAACATTGAAGTGGGTAGAGTAAAATTCGTGTAGGTGATACGGTGATATAAACCTGGAATGAAAATAATAATATGATTGGAAGCGCTCAAAATCCTACCCCTAATTCTAATCTGAAGAATGGTGCCACCGTAAGCACTAATGTTTTTTCTTCAAGTTGGGTAGGCAGGCTACATATACTGAATGAAAATAATGGTGCAATTGGGCGGTGCAGAAACCCTAAAGGCTCCACAGATGTTTCTACTCGTTAACAAACACCCTGTCTCAAAACTTTATTGAAATTTACGTGTATCTTTTTTTGTTGATAAGAATCCAGGCACTGTTTTGTGGAATGTGGTGCTTAACGGAGTGTGCACTATTTCAGAGAATTAAAAATAAATGCATTACCCAGAAGACCAGCCCAACATTTAACTTTCCCTGCCGTTCACTGTTTGCCAAGAAGTTTATTTCCATACCAAGGACAGTTGTTAGTACACCATTTCTGTTTCAGGGACATTTTCTTCGCATACGTTTTGTGCCACCATGGGTGCCACAGACATCTTGCTGTGTGCACAGACCATGGCAGGCCTTTTGTTGTATAGAGGACTGTGAGGGGAAAAGAGGGCCGTTCTCTCGCGTGCCAACTAGAAGTAGCTCAAACAAAAGAATGCGTTCTAGGCATTCGCTTACGTGCAAATGGTCAATGTATTTTTGATTCCACGCCTACATCTGAGTATATGTACCCTGTGAACTCTTGCATTGACACTGAGAGCTTGGACTGATATCGACAGTTCCCATGATCATTTTTAACTGGGCCCTTCCACAATTTTCTGTCTTTGGCTTTATTTGTATTCTTTTATCTTTTAAATATGCCTACATTGTAATAATGGTTTGAGTACTTTGAAAATGATTGTTCTGCATCTGTGAATTTTATCCCTCTTGATTTTGTTGATTTGTTTTTCATCCATGCAATAAAGCAGAGTGAAGGATGATGCTCATGAACTTTGACCAGAGTTGTCACTTTTATTCCAAAAGGAGTTGATCTACCTGGTAATAGTTGGTTCCTGCATTTGGAAGTGACTTTTGGGTTAGATTATGAATATGGCAATTTCCATTAAAAACCAAAAATGCTTTTCAGCTATTATTCTTGGTCCACGCTCGA